TCGGGATGTATGGGCGAAGTAGGCTGACGTGGAACGAAGGGCTGATGTACCAGTCGGTTGGCAACAGTAGGTGTGCGGTGACGGGTGTGATCATGTGACTGATTTGGAATGGTCCACAGTAGCGTGGTCGTAATTTTGGCACGTCGGGCAGTCGCAGATTTTGCGTGTCGAGTAGCACGTAATCTCCAGATTGATACGTGACGGGGCGGCGGTGGCGATCAGCGTTGCGCTTAGCGATGACGTTGGCCTTTTTTATTGCTTCGGCGGCTCTGGCGCGGGCAGCTTGCAGGATTTCGGCGAATTGTTGTGCGCGTGGCGTTGGGTTGTCCGGACTCGGCGTCATGGGCACTGCGGGGTTCTGCCCATAGTTCAGGTAGAACGGGGACTGCTGCGTCGTGGCTGATGTGGCGTTGTTGTACGCGAACTCGATCAGCGGCAGCTGCTGCTCCCAGGTCGTGGGGTCGTCGCACGTGGCACGAATCAACTGCTCCACCGTCTGATTCGTCCGCTCCGTTTGGCCGTCGGTCTCGGGGTGGTACGACGAACTGAACTGTAGCCTGGTCCCGAACTGCTCCCAGAGGTTCTTCCAGAAGTTGCTGGTAAATTTCGTGTCCCTGTCGCTGATAATTGCTGCTGGTATCCTGTGCAGGCGAACAACGGCTGCGATGAACAGGCGAGCGGTCTCCTCGGCTGAGATCGACTTTTTGCACGCAGCGAAGTGTGCCATCTTCGTCAGCCTATCCACGACGACCATCACCGCGTCGTTACCCCCAGGGTTCGATGGTAACCCTGTGACGAAGTCCATGGTTACTTGCTGCCAGGCGCGTTCGGGCGGTGGGATCGGCTGCAATTGGCCCGCCTTCCGCTTCCTTGAACTCTTCATCACCTGACAGGTCGGGCACGAGCCCACGTGCTGCTGTACGTCGGTCAACAGCTCCGGCCAGTAATAGTACCGCTGCAGTTGCTGTCGCGTTTTTTCTACCCCGAAATGTCCCGAGGTAATCCCGTCGTGTGCCTCCTGTAGTAGCAGATCCCTCAGTAGTGAGTACGCGGGTACCCAAATGCGGTTGGTGCCTGCTTTTACGTAATAGACTCCTTTTGCTTCTGCCAGTTGCTGTGAATTTCCGGTCGTGAAAAATGGGTCGGTGCGGTATCCATGGGTGAATAGGCCAGTTAAAAGCGGGTTGGTCTGGGCGAGTAGGATGGCATGGAGTTGGGCGGTAGGGCGGGTGAGAGCGTCGGCGATGTTGGATTCACCCTTTTTGTACGTAACGGTGTAGTGAAAATTGGACTCGAGATAGTCCAACCAGCGAATCTGTCGTGGGTTGAGATTCGGTTGGGCGCGAAGATACTGTAGCGAGCGGTGGTCTGTCCGTATTGTCACGTCGGCGCCAGTCAGGTAACATCGCCAAACTTTGAACGCGTGCACGATCGCTAGCATCTCGCGGTCGTGTATCGGGTAGTTACGTTCGGGCGGGTGTAACTTGCGGGACTCGTATGCGATTGGCTGGAGGCCGTTCCCGAAATCCTGCAACAGTACTGCTCCCACAGCGATGTCACTTGCGTCGGTGACGAGCTCAAACGGACGGTGGGGATCTGCAATGTGAAGGACGGGTGGGGAGCACAAAATATTTTTGAGGGCCGAGAAGGCAGCTTGCTCTTTCTCCCCCCACGTGTACTCAACCCCCTTCCTCAGCAGGTCAGTCAACGGGGCAGTCAGCTTCGCCATGTCGGGGACGAACCGGCGCACGTAGTTGACGAACCCCAGGAAACTCTGCAACTCGGTCAAGTTGGTCGGCGCGTGCCAAGCCTGAATCGTCGCAATTTTCTTCGGGTCTATTTCCACTCCTGCAGCTGAAATAACATGTTCCAAAAACTCCAGGCGGTCCTGTAAAAACTCACACTTAGATGCTTTGGTCAGTAGGCGGTTCTCACTCAGGATTTTAAAAACTGCTTCGATGTCTTGTAAGTGCTGTGCTCTGTCAGGGCTGTAAATCAGTATGTCGTCCAGATAAACGATGACGCACTTATATAAAAGCGGGCGGAATGCTTCGTTCATGGTCATTTGGAAAGTGGCGGGGGCGTTGGTCAGTCCGAATGGCATGACGGTGTATTCGAAGGATCCGTAGCGTGTTCGGAATGCGGTTTTAGGGCAGTCGGGTGGGTTGACGCGGATTTGGTGGTAGCCTCCCCGGAGGTCGATTTTCGAGAAAACCCGGGCTGTGCGCAGTTGGTCGATAAGTTCGTCGGCTCGTGGGATGGGGTAACGGGATTTGATAGTAACCGTGTTCAGTGCCCTGTAGTCGATGCACATGCGAAAACCCCCGTCCTTTTTCGGTGTGAACAGTATTGGTGCGGCGAAGGGCGACGAACTAGGGCGAATGAATTCCTTTTCGAGCAGGTAATCGAGCTGCTTCCTTAGTTCGTCTAGTTCGGGTTGGGTCAGTCGGAACTGTCGCTGTACTGTTGGCTGTGCCCCCGGTTCCAGTTCTATCCTGTGATCGTGCGGTCGCTGAGGTGGCAGTCCCGTCGGTAAGTCATCCGGGAAAATGTCACTGTACTCTTTTAACAGTGCCGCCAGGTCACTCGGTACGTCGGTCAGCAGTTTCTGTAAATCGCCCCCCTTGTCTGCTGCCTCGGCTTCCCGAATGTCAACCGCGTACACGTCAGCTCCGGCCGCAACAGCGCGTTTCATCGTGATCGCGTTGACACGCACCGACGAAGACTCAGGCGAGCCCCAGCGAGGTAAGGCGATGTTGTTACCGTTTACTCGCACGGTGCAGTCACCCGTCGTCCAGTCAATTCGCGGATTGTGTCGTCGCAGCCAATCACGCCCGAGTAAAATGTCGGTTCCGTCGAGGGTCGTTGCGAGCATTTCCTGACTAAACGTGAAGTTACCCCCGCATCGAATCCGAACTCGGTCTACGCGTTCCCGTATTGCCAGCGGCGTGCCGTCGACCAGTCGTGCGTCGATCTCAGGTAAGCATCGGTCCAGTGGCAGTCGCAGTTTGCGTGCTGTAGCTGTGTTAATGAGGCTGTGGCTGGCTCCCCCGTCTACGAAGATTTTAACTAAGTCCGTCCCAATTTTCCCACTGAGCAGTATAGGGCTATCTACCGTGGTACCCTCCTTATTCGGCCGGGTGTGGTCGATTGCGTGAACCGGCACAATCACTCGGTGAGGGTCGGTTGGGTCGGGCGAGCGGCGTGACCTGTCAGTAGAGGGCCCGTCTGCTACTAACTTCCAGCGTTTCCCTGCTGCTTGGTCTGTGTCTGCTGCTCAGCTTCCCCCTTTCCCTTAGTGTTTTCCGGGCATTCGCTCTTGCGATGTCCCGGCCGATTGCACGCAAAGCAGCGCCCTTTGAACGGTGCGGCAGTGGCATTTGCGGCGACGGCGCGTATCGTGGCGCTTTCGTTCGTCCCACGAGGCCGATGTCCCCAGGTGTTGTTTCCGTAGGACCCCGGTCTCGGTCGGCGAAAGAAGTCGAGCTTCTCCGCCATAGCGAGAATTTCCTGAAACTCAGTGACGCCGCGAAGCTGGATTTCCTGAGCGATGTCCTGCTTCAGGCCGCCGATGTAGCGGTCGATGCGTTCGCTCTCATGCATGTAGCCCACCTGCTCGCATAGCGCCAGAAATCCGCTCGTGTAATCCTGGATGGAACCGAGTTGGCGCCAAGTGCGGAGCTTCTGTCGCGCCGAGATCGAGGCCGCGATTGGCTCAAATCGAGGGCGCAGACCTGCGCACCACGCGTCCCACGTGCGATACTGGGGCACCTCCACGAAATACGACGGCGCCCAGGGTCCGGTTTGTCCTTCCCGTGTCGGTAGTGTCGCGTAGTCGGTCGGCTTCGTGACGATGACGCGCCACCAGTCCATGGCGGGTCCTCGCAGCAACGACACGGCGTATCGAATCTTCGCCGAGTCCTCCGAGACGTAGTTGGCGTCGAAGAAAACATTCATTGTGAATAACCACGCCTGAACGGTAGGACCACCCCGTTGACTCGGGTCAAAGCATGGCGGGCGCTGCGGCTTCAGCGGCATCGGTGACGGCAGTCCCGAATCGTGGGTTGGTGCCGAAATCGTGACGCGAGGCTGACTTGGGGCCGCAGGCGTCGCTCTGGGGTGTGTCGTGCCGTGGTCGTCGTCTCCGTCGGGGCGGACGACGCCATCACTGGCCGCGCTCGCGGGTTGCCCCACACTCCCGTGTTGTGATGTTGAGGGTGCGGGTTGGATCGGAGTGCCAGGTGCTTGAGATTGTGCTCTCAGGAGGTCATTTTGCAGTGATGAGCGTTCTGCCGTCAATGCCGCGATTTCCTCGGAGCTTTCGTGCAGTTGTCGCAGCAGATCGTTCAAACGCTCCTGCGTGAGAGTGGTGACGTCGATGTTTTCGGCCATGACGAAGGGCGTCGGCTCGTCTTAGTCTAGGCGCAGTCGTGGCTGCACGCGTTTACGAGAGAACGCGAGGACAGCGGCTCCTAGGGGCTAAGGTGCGTGAGTCCCTTCGAGTGAAAAATCAAAAGTTGATTTCCTGGTGTGCGGAGATGCGCGGTCCGAAAGAAAGGGGCTCTGATACCAAGTGTTACGGGTGCAATGAATCGAGGTAGCGAGAATTGCACTAAGGTGTCAAACGAGTACAAAATGTGAGCGAAGGCATGAGCGAACATTTATACGCGAAACATGCAAAACGGTAACGCGGTGCGTGCGAGCTTGCTAGTGCTACGCTGGAGCGAGGCTCGGGCTAGTCCCGAAGCGTAGGCCGATACGGCCATGCCAGCAGTGCGAGGTTTGGTAAAACAGTGCGCGCGAAGTCGGCGAAGTTCCGTTAGCAGTAACGGGCGAACAATCGGCTGTTGCTGTACGCGATGTAGTCGGCTCCGTAAGGAATGCCGAGAAAATTCCTTACATAAACACTTAAAACACTAGCCTGTGCTAAAATTAATGGGCATCTACGTTATGCCCAGTACACCTATATTCTGTTTTTATCCTCGTTTGTTTTCTAATTACTATGACTTAGGCAGGTGCATGTGCTTCTTGAGGAACTTGGAAGCTTCCCGATCCGCCCTATGGCAAAGCACGCGCAGAAGCACATGTGCATCGTGCCCAGTGAGCCCTGCGCCACCTCCCTTCACAAATGACGAGGCCCGAAACGCACCGCCTGCTGCTTGACTGGCTCCTGCTGCTTGCTTGTAAACGATAATGACGTCAGCAGTCTGTCAAGGGGGAGATGACAGTTGAAAGAACACGTCGAGGTTAATGATGACATGCGCACATGTCAACAAAAACCATAGTTGAGGCTAAGGTTACTGGAACAGGTGGTTGTGGAGTGGAGGGGTCATATAAAAAAAGACCTTACCAATGAGGTATAGAAAGTTTGCAAAGTTACAAGTACTGTACAAAACACTCACATTGAGGGAGTAGTAGTTGAGCACTTGCTGCACCTGAGCTGCTGCCTTGTTCACAACCTCCTGTGGCAAGCCGTTGCCATTCGCCACAAAGAACTCCTGGGGGAGGGGAAATGGGGAGAGGGAATGGGGGAGGAGGGAGGGGGAAGGAGAAAGGGGACGGTAAGAGGGAAACGGGAAGGGGGAAGTGGAAGGTCCTCTCTCATGTGATATCACCCCTCATGTGAGCTGACTCATGTGTTCTCTCATGTGATATCACCCCTCTCACCTTGAGAATGGGGAGGTCATCTTCCAGGGCATCATAGTCTGACGGGTTAAGTCATGTCACACCATGCCATATCAAATACCATTCCATGACATGCAATCTCATGTCATGCTAGCTACATCAGCTGCTCACCTTGAGAATGCGGAGGTCATCTTCCAGGGCATCGTAGTCTGACTGAGCAAACACCCTCAGAGGCCCGCCGTCCAGAAGCACGCGCAGCAGGCCCTCCTGATGAAGTGGAAGGGTTTTAAGAGTGGTTTCAGAGATAAGAGTGAACAACATTCAGAATTCGCATGTGCTGGTCAGAGGGACGTTAGGACAAGATGAAAAATAAATCGCTGAAGAATGATCATAAGTGTAAGAAAAAATATTCTTAGTCCCTTCCCCCCTCCTCCTCCCCCCATTTCCCCTCCCCCACAAAAAGAAAGAAAAAAACCACAAACACAAACCCAAATTACCAGAACAGAGTGCAGGAGAGAGGTGACGACACGATCCCTCAGAGAGTCCGAGACGGTCTCCACAATCTCCCCCAACACCTGCAAGTGGATACACGGACCAGTTCACACACACATAGTGGTGAATTAAATAAGCATGCTCCCGCATGCGACACAACATGGCGAAAATTGGGAAACGGTGGAAAAAAACAAAGGAAAAAACCGACCGGGTCGAGCTTGAGCATGAGGTTGCTCATGCGACAGGATTCCACGCTCACACGATACAGCTCCTCCAGAAACGCCTCCCTCAGGTCCCACCACACCACCTTGGTGCCTGCAAGGAACAGCATAAATAGGAGGGGCACCTTGTTGTGTTTAAACAGGAGGGGTGTATACCTAACGGCTGCTCCATCGGGCTCCTCTAGATAAACCTCCCTCAGGTTCCATCGCACCACCTTGGTGCCTGGGTGGAGAGAGGCGAGGGGAAAATGGAAACATATCAAACAAACAATCATATCCAATTCAGAATCAACAGATTTGTAATGACAACCAACCAAGGTCGGATGCTACATGAATATTACGCAAATCCAAAATGACAGGGGTGATACGAGTGAGCGAGATCAAATAGGCACTCGCCAAGGTAGGCCAAGAGGATCTGCATGCGCTGTGCTGCAAGCGTGGTGGTCTGCTCATAGAAGCTTACTTGCACACCCACACTATTTCCCCCCTCTCCTCCCAAAGTCACACCAACCCACTCCTCCCTCTATCCCCTCCCCGTCCACACACACGCACTGACCGAGGTAGTCTGAGAGGGTCTGCATGCGCTGTGCTGCGAGCGTGGTGGTCTGCTCATAGAAGCTTCCTCTCTTGAGCCCAGCCACGCCCTCTGTGGAGAGACGGAAGGCGAGGGAGGAGGCGAGCTGAGACGGGGCCATGGCTGCAACATGGTAGAACATGGGAGAAAAGGGGACAAACAGTGGAACATGGGAGAAAAGGGGACAAACAGTGGAACATGGGAGAACAGGGGACAAACAGTGGAACATGGGAGAACAGGGGAGAACGAAAGAGTGAGGTGAAGAAATGGATGAGGATAAGGACCAGGGAACGGAGGAACGAATATTTGGTTCGGTCGATGCTCACCTGCCACGTCAGCATTCTCACATGCCATGTAGCAAACACAGGTGCCAGGTCAGCATGCTCACCTGCCATGTCATCGATCTTGAGGTGAGGAGCGTACTCATCCCAGCGCTCACAGAGAGCCTTCTCGGATTTGTCCAGCTCGGCTGTCACAAACTGGTGTGAGAGGAACAGGAAGGAGAGGAGGCGAGAAGAGAGTTATTTCCATGGCTGCTTGAATACGAGACGCAGGTGAGAAGAGGGTGCAGAAGAGCGGGTGCAGAAGAGAGGGTGCAGAAGAGAGGGTGCAGAAGAGAGGGTGCAGAAGAGAGGGTGCAGAAGGTGCACTATCAACCTGCACAGCACACACACCTGTGAAACACCCAACTGATTCTCACCTCCAGAGTGTTAATCCGCACACACAGCTTCTTCACAGTCAGAGCATCAATCGCAGCAGCCTTCGCCGCATCCACCGCCCTCACCGCCCCCCTCCCTCCCACTCCCCCTCCCGTCCCCCCCACACCCTTCCGCGCATGCCACAACCCCTCCAAGTACCCCGCTTTCCCCTTCTGCACCCTCTCCTCCCTCTCCGCCCTTTTCTCCGCCTTATCAGCCAGCCTCTGAGCCAAGTCTTCTTTGAAGCGCGTGAGGGGCGGTGGAGGCAGCTTGAGGTCGTCCCTGGGGCCGAGAGCGGCAATCTTGGCAACATAGGCGCTCATGAGGGTGTCGGTGCTGTGGACTATTTGTTGCAGCATGGGCAGGCGGGGGGGCAGGCCAAGACGAAAGAACTGCTCTAGGACCTGCAGTAGGGGGTGCAAGGGGGGATAGGGAGACAGGGAGGTAGCTTGAGGTGGTATTTGGGGCTGAGCGCAGCGATCTTGGCAACCTAGGCCCAGGCGGAAGAATTGGCGGATCATGAAAGTTGTTGCTGCAAACATGAATCGAATTGAGGCAACACAGAACGTCAGTTTCGGGGTAAAAATGAATCGACATTTCATCAAGTCACCAACCCAGCGATCCCCTCTTACCTCTCTAGGAAATCGTGCCGGATATGGGACGAGACTCTTCTGGCCACTAGTCTTGCGAGCAGCTGGCCTGAACACACAAATCCGGCTTGCGAGCGACTAAGATCAAGCATTGCGATGAGAGAATTCCACTTCATCTCAAGTGACGCGTCAGAACATCTCTCGAATCAAACGCCAACTCGCATGGCCAACTTATCGTCGAAATTAACGAGTCAAAAACTGACGACAAGTTGGCCATGTAAGTTGGCGTTTGATTCGAGAAATGTTATGACGCGTCACTTGAGATGAAGTGGAATGGTCTATCCTCACAATTCTTGATCTTAATCGCTCGCAAGCTGGATTTGTGTGCTCAAGCCGACTGCTTGCAAGACTAGTGGCCAGAAGAGTCTCGTCCCATACCCGGCACGACTTCCTAGAGAGGTAAAAGGGGATTGCTGGGTTGGTGAGTTGATGAAATGTCGATTCATTTTTATCCTGAAACTAACGTATTATGTTGCCTCAATTCGATTCATGTTTGCAGCAACAACTCTCTCGGTTGCTCTGGCACCTGGAATAGGGGATCGGAGGAGAGGAGTCCTAGGGATGAGTGGCAAGCAACGCGGGTGCTCATGAGGGTATTGGTGCTGTGGACTATTGTTGCAGCATGGGCAGGTGGAAAGGGAGGCCCAGGCCTCTAGGACTTGTCACAGAGATGTTTTGGCAACATAGGCGCCCATGTCATGAGGGTGTGGGTGCTGTGGAGCATAGCATGGGCAAGCGGGGGGGGAAACTCAGGCGGAAGAACCGCTCATGCTACAGCAAATGCTCATGCGCCTATGGTATGGTGGAGAGCGGAGGGAGGGGATGCGCCTGTGTATGATGCGCCTGTGATCTGCCATTGTGAGGAGGTGACTTCTGAGTCACTCAAAAGTCACCAGGAGCAACAGGGAGGAGAAGAAGAGGATGTTGGTGCTATGGACCATCTGCCATTGTAACGAGGTGACTTATGAGTCACTCAAAAGTCACGAGGAGCAACAAGGAGGAGCAGAAGAGGATATTGGTGCTGTAAACCGTCTGCTGCAGCATGCGCTGCAGAAGCTCAGTGCTTGAGGGGGGGAAAGCTACCGAGTCACAATTGCGGCCTTCACCAGTCGAACCCTCATCACCACCACTCAAGCCTCACCCCTTCCACCAGCCACACTACATCCACCACAGACGCCCCGTGCTTGAGGTATGGATAGAAAGGCCTAATAAAAGCGCAGCTGTCGCCTGTAGAGGTAGGCAATAGGCAGGCAACACCACACCACCTCTCTCACCACCCAATGCACACCTCTCCCACAACCACCCAAGCCTCACCTCTTCTACCAGCCGCACAGCATCCACTGCAGAAGCCCCGTGCTTGAGTGTATCTGAAGCCGGCTCGAACGTCTGCAGCAGAAGCAGCGCGAGAGGCGAGGCGAGCGGGTGAGAAGAGCGAATGAGTCGAGCGGGTGAAGAGTGGGGCAAGGGGTTGAGAAGTAGCTGGAAAGACGGAGAACCGAAATGCAGACAATTCGTCCATAAAAAGAAACCGGATCCCTCTCTCACCTTGGGCTCCACGCCCCTCTCCATCCACACTTATTAGTCGTTTAGGCACGTTTAGGCAATAGGCCGGCAACACCACCCCACCTGCTCCTCGCATTTACCCTGCTCCACCCCTCATCCTTCCTCCCTTCCCCCTCTCTCACCTCTGCCTCAACTCCTCTCTCCATCCACACGTGGAGCTTCTGCTGCTGCGCTGACACCCAGGCTGAGAACAGACGCTTCATCACAGGGTCAATCTGATGGAAACGCAGAAACATAATCATAGTCATTTAGGCACCCATGCGCCTCAAAAGAAGCTTCATCACAGGGTCAATCTGAGGGCAGGCAGGCGCACGACAACCACAAGGGAGGGTGAAGAGGTTTGGTATGAGCAAACTGTGAACAGCCCGCTTGCAATCTGAGCTGCGTAGCCGTATCCCCCATTCCCCTATCTATCCCACTCCTGCTCTCTGCCTGCCTGGCAGGTGCTGTCAGATGAGCCCTACTCACTCATCTGATAGGTCATAGAAGGACTTACCTGGTACGGGTTCAGCTCGCTTGCAATATTTGCAGCATGGCCGCATCCCCCATGCCCATCTCCCACTCCTGCTCTCTGCCTGACAGCTGCTACGGACACCTTCGACAGGGGGGCTTACCTGGTAGGCGATGAGCTCGCTTGCAATCCCCGGGGGGCTGCATCGCCGTATCCCCCATGCCCATCTCCTTGCCTCTTCTTTGCCTCCTCCTCCTCCGCCCGCAACTCCCCCTGCACCACCTGCTGCACACGCCTGTCGAATGCATCCAGATAGACTTACCTGGTAAGCGTTCAGCTCGCTGGCAATTTGAGAAGCATGCCCGTATCCCCCATGCCCCTCTCCTGCTCTCTTCTTCGCCTCCTCCTCCTCCGCCCACACCTCCCCCTGCACCACCTGCTGCACGCGCCGGTCGAATGCATCCACAGCGTAAAACACCTTGCAGCAGTCGGGGTGCAGCTCTGATACCACTGAGAGGAACGGGTCCTGGTGGTGGCATTGGGAGTGGTGGAGTGTGGTGAGAATGGACGAACAGGGGTTGGAGGATAAACACCTTGCAGCAGTCAGGGTGCAGCTCTGATACCACTGAGAGGAACGGGTCCTGATGGGTAGTGATGGATAAGCAGAAGTACACAGGGGGGGAGACGTTGGGAATGGTGGAATGTGGTGAGAACGCATGGAGAGGGTTTAGAGGGAAAACGCCTTCCTTCCAGCAGTCGGGGTGCAGTGCAGCTCTGATACCACTGCGAGGAACCGGCCCTGGTGGGTCGGAGGTGCACACAGGAAAAAGATATGGATACAAGAAGCACCAACGACTTGCAGAAATCGTTTCTGAGAATGATCTAAGCCTATTGCTTTAACCAAGCTCACACAACCCACCAGTTGCGAATCCAGCTGCTGGTGTAGCGCTGCTGCTGCCACTGCTGCTGGTCCAAAGAAAACAAGCATACCCTCACCCCAGGCCTATGATGCGAAAGACGCTCAGAGGACGCTGCGTACTGCGTCTGGACGCAGCGTCTGGACGCTAGGACGCAAGACGCGCGTCCAGACGCAGGACGCAGATCGAAAAATTTTCGGGCTGCCCCGATTTTTTTTTTTTTTTTCCAGATTACGAATTTCAATCTCGCGATTTTGACGCGACTGTCGAAATTGCGAAATTTTGACCCCCCATTGCCCAATTCGACATTAAAAAACAGCCCCCCCCCAACATTTCATAACCCCCCATGCAACAATTGAATTCCAAATACCTCTCAACCACTTCACATCTAGAAAACCCAACCAAGGTGCCTACCACCAAGCCCATTTAGCAATCCAACCAAGTCATTTCTCATTTCACCCACCCAACCAATTCTCTTTCGAAAACCCTAGAGGTTTTAGCCTACAAGCATAGCTTAGCTCCATTATGGCTTCCTCAAGCAACCCTACGTCATCAAACGCATCTAGGGATGTTCATGCCGAGGACGAGTCTCCCCCGCAGCGTTTCACTAGTGATGGGGTGGAGAAGAAACCGCAAAAGCCCAAACACCATATTTAATGGGATGAGATGACTGGTTGCCTGCATGCAGTGCTGTGGTGGTAGTTCAATAGTATGCGTGTTCTTCAGTGATACGATAAACTGTGCATGTGACCTTGGGACATGTGTGTGACAATACGTGACTCACCTTAATCTTGAGATTTGGGGGAAAATTTGATGTTGGGGCCAAGTTTGCCTTGAAAGTGTGGAACGTTCCCCCCCCCCCCCCCCCCCCCCCCCCCCTCATCCCATGCCCTATAACAAGTTTTTTTGCCTGCCCGGGGGTTTTTTTGCCTGCCCGGGGTTTTTTTTGCCTGCCCGGGACTGCGTCTTTTGGTGCGTCTTTCTGGTCCTGGTGAAGCGTCCTGCGTCCGGACGCATGCGTCTGGACGCATGCGTCCAGGACGCAGGACGCGTCTTTCGCATCATAGCCCCAGGCCCAGCCACCTGAAAACGTTTCTGAGACTTGCTGCTGTGCCATCCAAGCAGCTCACACAACCCACCAGCTGTGAATCAAGCTGTTGATGCAACGCTGCTGCCGCCACTGCTGCTGTCCCATACACCCCCAACCGCCTGAACACCGCAACACATCCACCCTTCGCCGCCCCTCCCTCCGCTCCCCCTCCCCTCCCCCTCCCACCTCCCTTCCCTGTTCGCCCTTCAACCCCCCCAACCATTCCCCCAGCCTCCCTCTCTATAATCACACTCGCCAGCTCAGCCATTTGAGCCAATCCCACCTCTCCGCCCGCCCCTGCTGCTCTGAAATCCGAAGCAGGCCCGTCTGTGGAAGAGTCTGGGAAAGAGAAGGAGGAGCTTCCGTCATTGTGCTGATCCTGTGCGTCTTTCTGGGCTTTCGCTGCTGCTGCTGCTGCCATAGCATCTAGGCACGCGCGGTCAAAGGAGGAGAGCACTGACGTGTGAACAAACTCGAGTACGTCCTCCACTCGCTCCATGCTCGGTGGTCCCCCTGGGGCCTGGGGAGAGGACGGAAGAGAAGAGAGTGAAACAGGGTGCTTCGGGTTCTGGGCTTCAGAAGGGAAGGAGCAAATCCAGGGTGGCAGTTAAGAGGTTGATAAAGGGTACACTGAGGGTCCACCCTCCCTGAACTTGCTCACAGAAGCAAGGCGGTCTGAAAAAATGACTGCCCATTTCTCTTCCCCTATCTTCACCACCCTCCCTTCTCCCATCCACTCCCCATGAACCCCACTCACCGTGTGTCTTCGGCTGCTCCTCTTCCTGCCTGCTTCCAGCAGGTCGCAGCAGCACAGGTACGAGTCAAGAGCCGATTCCAGTGCTGCCAGTCCGTCTGCACTCGCGCCACTGCTGCTGGAAGCCTGGAAATTATTAGAGGATAAAATGGCACGGGTCAGGGGCAGGGACGAGACGAGGGGGAAAAAGCGCGGACTGATGAAGCAGGTCACAGCAGCACAAACGAGTCCAGAGCAAACTCTAGTGCTGCCAATCCGTCTGCACTCGCGCCTGTACTGCTAGTCGCGCTAGACGCCTGGAAATAAGAGCGGGTTGGAGGGAGAACGGAGAGAGGAGGGGAGATGTGAGGCATTCGTGTGGGGTATGGTACGTGAGAGGAGCAGCAGACTACAGAGCCAGATATGGACATGGGCTCATGGGCATGGCTGCACGGGTTAAGGGATTCAAGCCTGGGGGGTGAGAACACACTCACCTCCAGCAGTGTGTGGTGGTAGTCACTTAAAAGCAACGATTCTACTTTTGTGATGCCAAAGGAGCAAATTAATCCCTCACCTCCAGCAGTGTGTGGTGGTAGTCACTTAGAAGCGACGAGAGGAAGCGAGACACCGACTGCACGAACGGGTGAAGGAGAACCTTTGAGTCGACTCAAAAGTCGATTCAAACCTGGGGCAGTGATTAACACTCACCTCCAGCAGGGTGTGGTGGTAGTCACTAAGGAGCGACGACAGGAAGCGAGACACCGACTGCACGAACGGGTGAAGGAGAACCTTTGAGTCGACTCAAAAGTCGATTCAAACATGGGGCAGTGATTAACACTCACCTCCAGCAGGGTGTGGTGGTAGTCACTAAGGAGCGACGACAGGAAGCGAGACACCGACTGCACGAACGGGTGAAGGAGAACCTTTGAGTCGACTCAAAAGTCGATTCAAACATGGGGCAGTGATTAACACTCACCTCCAGCAGGGTGTGGTGGTAGTCACTAAGGAGCGACGACAGGAAGCGAGACACCGACTGCACGAACGGGTGAAGGAGACTTTTGAGTGACTCAAAAACAAACTAATCACTCACCTCCAGCAGCGTGTGGTGGTAGTCACTTAGAAGTGATGACAGGAAGCGAGACACCGACTGCACGAACGGGTGAAGGAGAACCTTCGCTGAAGGTTCCTCTCTGCCATCTGCTGCTGCTACTGCTTTTGCTGCTGCTGCTTCTGTTCCTGTTACTTCTGCTGCTGCGGATGATGATGATGATGACGATGGTCGTGCACAGGCAGTGGTTGGGAGGCGGCGCAGTGATTGGCAGATGAGCGGAAGCACAGATCTGATTGGCAGAAGCTGCTGCTGCAGCTGCTGATCTGGCAGACCGCCAGCTGGCGACGGTGATGAGAGCGGGTGAGGGAGAGTTGGAACTGAAGCCTGGAAGAGGAGGGAGACGATGGAGGAGGAGAGGGGGAGAACAGGGGACATGATGCGAGAGCAAGGAAGAATGAGAGAGAGGACGAGCGGGGGATGAGGATAGGACCTCATCGAACTGCACAGGGAGATGACGGTGGGAAAATAGTGTGGGACTCATGAACATTGGTCAGACAGCCACCGCAAGCATACCTTTTGGCAGAGGGTCCAAGCTTGCAGGGCGCTGTGCGTGACAGGTGTCACTCCCAGAGAGTGCCACGTGGGCCTGAGGGCCTCAACTCTCTCCTCCATCTCCTGCAGATTGTAAGACAGAGAGAGAGAGAGAAGGCGGCAGACAAGAAACACGGCCTTTACAAGGACCGCCCAGACTGGGTGAAGTTTTTCCCACTAGCGGTCGAGACATACGGGTGCCCATGCCCCGAGTCAGTGGACTTCCTGAAACTCCTCGCAGAAACGGCTGCACGGCGGTTCTTCAACGCCGAGCCAACCTCCTACCAAGCTGCCAAGCTCTTACACCAATACCGGCAGCGGTGGTCGGTGGCTCTTCAACGGGGGCAGTCGATTGGGTACCTGGAAAAGTGCAGCATAGCAGCAGCGGTTGAAAACCCGCTACTAGAGGCAGTGGGGGAGGCACCGTCCCTTGGGGACTGCCTCTCGGTTCTTGATCCTGCACTGGATCTTACTTAGAGGGTGTTGGGCTGCGGAGTGAATAGGAATTGTATTCTCTATTAGCCCCACGTACGTGATGACCCATACCTTGCATGTCTGTACACCTTGACTATCAATGAAAGGGCCATTAGAGAGAAGGGAAGAACAAACACGGTGTTATGTCAGAACAAGGTGGGGAAGAGCAATGAGGGGGGAGAGCAAGAGCACGACACAGGTGCCCTCTGAGCACATTCCTGAGTCGACTCAAAAATAGACTCACAATGCAGGTGCCCTCGGATCTGAGCAAGACACGGCTCAGACGTGTCGTCTTTGTATTCTGTGCTTAGCTGAGCTGAGCTTACAGAGAGCAGGTCAATGAAAGAGGCCGAATCTGAGGGGTCACAGCAGGCGGACAGCAGCTGATGGTACAGAACAGAGACGCGTTCAGGCTGGCTTCAATGGGGCACCAGGACAGCAGCGGGCAGCGAGCAACAGGCATAGAGCAGGGCAAAAGAAGGCCGACAGCAGGCCGATAGCAGGCCGACAGCAACACAACAACAATTTCCCAAAGGGACTTACAAAGAGGAGGTCGATGGAAGAGGCTGAATCGGAGGGGTCACAGCAGGCGGACAGCAGCTGATGGTACAGAGATGCGTTGAAGGTCGCTCGGGTGGGACACCAGGCACCAGGCAGCACCGGTAGCTGCTTCCCTTGCCTCACACCACCGCCAGCATTGTGGCTTGCTGCTGCGGCCAGTGCTGCTGCGGCCAGTGCTGCTGCGTTTCCTCTCCTGCCGCCCCAGGCGAATCCCCCCACCAGCAGCCAGCGCAGCTCGCTCAGCTTCCGGCTCCACTTGGCTTCGAAGGACGGCGGGGAGGTGATGAACTCGTGACCCTGGATGGGTGTGGGAGGGAGGGGGAGGGGAAGAGGGAGTGGGCTTGAATCAAAAGCAGCTCGCTCAGCTTCCGGCTCCACTTGGCTTCGAAGGAGGGCGGGGAGGTGATGAACACGTGACCCTGCATGGGGGGAGAGGGATAGGGTGAGAGGGAGAGGAGCGAGTGAAATCGGTTGAGAGAGAAGGAGCAGAGGATAGGATCAGCCAGCGCAACTCGCTCAGCTTCCGGCTCCACTTGGCCTCAAAGGAGGGAGGCGAGGTGATGAACTCGTGACCCTGGAAAGGGAAAGGATGGCGAAAGTGGATTAAGGTGAAAGGGGAGGAGCAGAGGATAAAAAAAGCCAGCGAAGCTCGCAGCAGAGAAATGGTGAGGGGAAGAGGGAGGAGAAGAAGTCAGGGGAGAGAGATAGGGTGAGTGAAAATGAGTGGTAACTAGTGGGGGGTGGGGTGAGAGGGAAATGTGGGAAACGAGGGAAAATATGAAAAAGGGGGCAATGCAAGCTTTGTAATGAGTTTGGGCAGCTCTCACTCTGAGCACGTAAAAGACAGACTGGTGATATGAGTCTTTGAGGCGCCTAAAATAGAGGTTGGGCAGCTTTCACTGTGAGCTGAGCATCTATCAGACGGACTGACTGATGATATGGGCGTGCAGGGGGTGCGCCGCGAGTGAGTCAGCGTCCAGCTCACCTTTACAAGTGCCAGCATGGCATCCAGGGCGGCTGCCACCTCAGCACGATCATCCCCACCCTGTGCCTCCCCTCCTGCTCCTCCTGCTCCTCCCGCTCCTCCCTTTCCTGTGCCCTGTGGCTTTGCATTGCCTGTGGCGTCCAACAGCAGTTCTTGCAGCAGCTTCACCTGGAATGGGGGCGGAAAAGCGAAATGGTAGGGGATCATGCAGCGGTAGAGCCTGTGGGGCCAAAATGGAATGAGGCAAGTCGACTGGAATTGTGGCACAAAGGAAAGTCCAGTGTTTACACCACACACACACATGCGGGCACGCACGCACACAAGCACACACACACACACACACACACAAGCAAATACGGGACAATAACAAACAAAAACAAGAAGAGCAAGAGAAAAATACAGACTTGCACACCTGTCTGTGGTAGAAAGCTCTACGGAGGTCTGGCGACAGATTGGAGAATGACGCAGCGAGAGAAGAAGCAGCGGCCTTCAGAGCACCAACTCCAGGGGAGAAGGAGGAGGAAAGGGAGGCGGGGATGGGGGAGAAGTGGAGGAGCAGGCAGAGCGGGAGCGGGAGGGGAGGAATGGCGGCAGCTGCTGCTGCTGCTGCTACACCGGTGAGCGGGCTGATGGGAGATGGCATTTCGACGGTGTGTGATGGGGGTGGGAGGAAGAGGGCTGAGAGGACGAGAGCTTGGAGAGACTCGGGTACCTGTGGAAAAGGGGGAGAGGGAAGCAGGGAAGGGCAGGGGAAAGGAATGGAGAGAGAATGAAGAGAGGCAGGATGATCTGCTGCTGCTGCTGCTGCTGCTGCACCGATGAGGGGGCTGATGGGGGATGGCATTTCGACGGTATGTGAGGGGGGTGGGAAGAAGAGGGCTGAGAGGAGGAGAGCGTGGAGAGACTCGGGTACCTGCCATAGGTGGGAGCGTGATGGGGAGATACCGGGGACGGAATAAGCACTTGCAGATTGAAAGTTGAAAAAAAAAACAACTCCTGGGGAGGAGAAAACATGGGAAGAACAGAGACTGGAAAGAAGCAGATGCATGCAGGGAAAGAATGGTAGGAAAAGGCAAGCGTACGGTAAGACAAGGCAGGAGAAGCGCCGATCACGTACCCCTAGTTGCTGCCGCATGCGAGCCAGCTCCGGGGACAGGGCTCCTCCTCCTCCCTCCCCTCCACTCCCATCCCCAATCCCCCTCTCTCCACCACCCCCACCACCACCACCGCCACCGCCACCAGTACCACCAGCAGCAGCAATGCCAGCAGCAGGTTTGGCTCCCTTAAACTGCCCCACGTTGACCCCGACCTTCTTGGCAAAGCGGGACATGAAGCCGCCTGGGGACTTGGACTTGGGCTCTACGGGGGATTCAGGCCGCCAGGGCTTGCTCTTGCTGCTGCCGCTGCTGGCTGCACTGGTGGCACCAGGCGCTGGTGCAGACACAAGCCTGGAGTGGGCGGGGAGGGGAGAGGGACGCGGAGGAAGTAGACCTGATGAGAGCACAGATTTGGCTGCTTCGAGTTGAGTCGCCAGCTTCTTGCAAAAAGGAGTGTTTTGAGACGTCTCACGAGCACCAGCACCTCATGAGCGCTTGCTTGTGTCTCTTTCGAAAGCTCTCACTCTTGAAAAGTGACGCAAACTCACCCGGATTCCGCTGCTGCAAGCAGCAGCACCTCATAGGCACTTGCTTGAAGCTCCTCTGCTGTCAGCCCCGATGCCAGCTGGCGCAAAGGCCACTTCAGCCGCCCCCTTGCTGAGCTGGCAGAGTCTCCATCTCTTGTGCCAGCTGGCGAGTCCTCGCCACCGCCCGCCACAAGCGTGGAAGACATCTCAGACGAATCCGAACACGAGGACGAATCAGACGATGCCACGTCATCATCGTCCTCGTCATCATTCCACCGCTCCCCATCAGTGCCAGGTGGCAGCTTCTTATTCGATCCACCAGACCTCCAGGCAGATCCCAGGACGCTCCCCTTCCCTCCAGACTCCTCGGCTCTGCCTCTCCCACTCTCGCTCTTCTTGCTTCGTGGTTCCCCAACAGGAGACTGGAAATCCAGCCGGGTTGGGACCGGTGGAGTAACCACAGCTGCAGAAGCCGCAGCAGAAGCAGCAGCAGCACTCCCACCGCCACTCATCTGCACATCAGCACCTGCTGCATTACCAAACCCATGCCCGCTGCTGGCCACAGAAACCCCACCAGCACTGCCACCACCCCTGCTATTAACAGCCGACTCACGCCCCCCACCTGTTCCACTACTTGTCACACTCTCCGAACCATATCTATGTGGTGATGGGCCATGGGAATAGGGAGCGTAGGTCTGTGCATCTACAGGAGGAGTGCCAGCAGCAAGAGGAGGGCCTCCTGCTGCCAGAGTAGCCGCACCGAGGGCACTCAGAGCAGCTGCAGCTGCTGCCGATCGGGGAGCAGAAGATCGGTGGGAAGAAGCAGGGCTCCTGTTGCCTCCTGTAGGGGAGGGAGGAGGGTAGAGTGGTTCAGGCGGTGGCGAGCAGGGTTCGTATCGAGTTTCAGGCCGTGGTGAAGGCTCGGCGGAAATAGGACTCCTGCTGCCTCCGACAGGGGAAGGAGGAGGATAGAGTGGTTCACGCGGTGGGGTTTGGGCATACTGAGGTGATGGTTGGGAGGGAGCAGGGCTCCTGCTGGCGCTTGCAGGTGAACGAGGGGAGAGTGGCTGAGGGGAACGAATCTGATACGGAGTACGAGCAGGGCTGTCAGGACCTTGCAGCTGCAGCGATGAAGGCTTTTCTTGTGTTGGTGTCTTGACAGGGCTCGAATTCAGTGGCCGGATGGGGTTTGGACTTGGGGTACCCATAACATCGTGTGGAAACCCCGATGCTGAGGCGTTTGGGTGATTTAAACTGGACGGTGATGCTGGGGAGGGCTTACCTGGGGAAGGCTGGCCTCCCCAAGCTGCTGCTGCATCTGGTGCACCTCCTGCTGCTGCTGAAGCTTCCCTAGCAGCAACACCCGCAGCAACTGCTGCTGCTGCTGCTGCGGCTCCAGCTGCTTCTGGTCTGCGCGTTGATCCCTGGGACAGGGCGTACATGGAGTGAACAGAAGAGGGCTTTTGGTTTTCATGATCAATGGCCCCTGCTGCCGCTACTGCTGCTGGTGCTGCTGCTTCTGCTGCAGTTCCAGCTGCTCCAGCTGCTTCTGGTGTGCCCGGTGAGCCCTGGGAGAGGGCGTACATGGAGTGAACAGAAGAGGCAGAGGAAGAGTAAGCCATAAACACCGAAGCTGATTCCACCGACCCTGCCACTGCCACTCTCTCCCGTGCTCCATCGCTCCCTCCTACGCTTTCCCTCAGTCCTCTTCCTCCTGCGTCTTCTCCCCCTCCTCCTCCTCTTCCTCTTACTCCTGCCGCCCCTGCCGCTGCTGCTGCTGCCGCTGCTGCTGCTTCTGCTTCTGCCGCTGCTGCTGCTGCCGCTTCTGCTGCTCCCTCTCCGAACCTTTCCCCCTCACACTCCAAGCCACTCGCGCCCACTTGTCCCCATCCCCCCCAGTTCAGCGCCCCTGTCACATCTGTCCCTGTGGAGCAGCGAACATCACTCTCAGTGGAATAGCCTTCAGGTGACGACGCGAATGGAGTGGCAAACAGCTTCTTGGCTAGTTGTTGCGCCTTAGGCTTGACTGGGGGAGGCGAATCTGGGGTATGCTGCTGGGCTGGGGGAGAGAGCGGGAAGAGAGGCCGAGGGGGGGCTAGGAGGGTCTCTGGCTCGGCTCTGGCTGGTGGTTTTGCACGTCCTGCTCCCCAACCTCCCCGTGCTGCTCCTCCGACTGCTGCTCCGCCTGCTGCTGCTGCTTCTGCTGCTGCTGCTGCTGAATCGGATGCGTGAGTTTTAGAAGATTGGTTCGGGACACGATCGGGAGCAGCTGAAGGGACAGCAGCACGGAACGACGGCGCCGCGGGAGCAGGAGGAGCGTATGCAGCAGCAGAGGCGAAGTCTGAGGCTGGCCGGGGATGGTGGGGTTCAGGAGGCAGGCGAGGAGGAGCAGAAAACTCTGGAACTGTGCGAGAGGGGACTGGAAAGGCGGGAGCGAGGCGAGCAGGCGGAGGGCCGGAGGGCTCTGTGGACGAGAGAATGACTGTGGAGGCTGTGACGAAGTCTGCCTGGGAGGCGGAGTTGAGTGGGATGCGGAGAGGTTGAGAGGCAACAGGAATTAGGTTGGTTTTGAGCTTCGTTTCCCTGTGGCCCACTGGATCAGATCTGAAGCCGAGCATCCAATCGTGTACAGGAGTCAAGAACATACTACCGCAGTTATCATGATATACAGCCATTTGAGACATTGAATGAAAGAAACACGAGGAAGACGAGTCCAGCTCTCACCTCACCCCTCGGAGTGACCGTTGGTTGGGCTGAAATGGCTGCTTTTATATCCACGCGCGTCCCTGAAAGGTCGAACGGAAGCAGTATGCATCAAGAGCCGATACGAAAAGGTCGAACAAACGAATAAGGTCTTCACGGGTACAGACCCGACGATAACAGAGCAAACCTTCGTAACGAATATGAGTCGGAAAGTAGGCGAAGCGCCATTCAACGCACTCACAACTCATTCAACCGGTGTAGCCTAGAAGAAGGCGAAGGCGAATCCTACAATGAAACTTGTGTTGTGTACCTGACGTAGCGCACCATAGGATGTAATCCACATTGATTCTGTCCAGGTCCGAATCTGCCCAGCCAGTCGCCGCTAGCGACGTTAATAGGTTTGAGAGCAGCAAGCGTCGGTCTCTCCGTACGCGGTACAGCTCTGCTTCGAGATTCGCTACTGTTTCCATCATGCGAAACGCATCAGGTGGATCAGAGGTGAATACTAAACGTCGCGAAGGCTGCTACCAACTTCGGACTCGAACTTACACTGAGATCCTCACTTCGCCAGTCTCTATACTACTAATATAGGAACATTCGACACCAAAATAGTACAACTACTGGGCATTGCGTTGACTTCTGTGATGCTCCAACACGGTACGGCACCCCAAGTGGTATGGTCAGGTCAAGCGAGATTTGATGCCAGACCGCGAATGTGACAGCCAAGTGAAATCTGACTCTTCACAAACACATCTCCAGATTATCTATAACTGAATTATGTCATTCCTCTTGGCAAAAAAGCATATCACATTAAACTGAATTAAAGTTAGGCAGTTTTACAATCCAGAGTCTGAAACCCCATCTTTCTTGCCCCTCTATCATACACAACCAGCTTGTTACGCATAGCTACATCTGCATGCACAAATTTGGAAAGCATGTCAGACGAGAGCCAAAACGCTAAGGCATGGGTGCGAGAGATGAAGATTCCTCAGTATCATACCTCCAATTATGGTAATAGGTTGGCCCACAACACTGTTCGAGTCGTACACACAGAAGCACACCAAATTGTCCTGCAGGCCAGCAAAAAACAAAAACAAAACAAAAAACAAAAAAAACAAAGCAAACAAACAGCGTTATCTCAGCAAATACTACACACACCATATGGTAGCAGGCAGGGCGTGGGTACTCACAAACAGCCATAGGTAGTTCTGGGGTGGTAACTCCAGGTTGGCACCATTCATCACAATTGCCACTGTCGGGAATGCTGACTGCAATGTTGCTGTATCACTGGAGTAGAACACAGTGGTATGCTTAGTACATAAACAGAATGACATGCATAAAAAACTGAAGACAAGACAAATACCTTGAAGAGACATTGTAGCACAGATTCAATACAGATGCAACATTCCCACCAGCCAGCTGATTGATTTCTTCCTGAGAAAGTCTTTGAGCTTTCCCATCAACAGCTTGGATAACCTGCATCGAATAAAGTTCATGACCCAATGATAATCAAGAACACCCAACAGACATGAAAAATTGAAGGCGAAGGGCATGAAAACCTTAAAGAGAACCTACTGCTTCTCTGAGGGGAGTGTACGCTGCTTCTGGGAGCGTGAGCGCAGTGCTGCCACTGTCAATGATACCACCAGTTCCAGAAAATGTGCCAGCAGGAATTTGCAGATCCATACCATTCACCTGAATACCAAATATCGTCACATTGTACACCCTGCACATCAACACACACACACATGTCAGAGAGAACAAACGGGTCCAGCCTGGACCTGGACATTTGTGACATAGTTACTTACGTGGTGTCATTCCCCATAGGGACAAACTGCATGCTCGAGTCAGCCATAGGAGGCGCGCCAAAGGTTATAAATCCGCCACCATCCTCTCCACCCAAACAATGTGAGATTATATTTCCCTGAAGAACTCCCTCTTGCGCTAGCTGTGAAGGAATGGATAGAGGGCTTTGGCCAAGGCCAACCAGGCCAATCAAGGGATCTTTGAGAAGCCCTTGGGACTCATGGAAGTCACAACTGAAAGCAACAACCGGGGGGTTAGTTATCTGGTCCGCATATGATGTAAACTATCCAAAACATAACTCTGATTACCCAAAGGCAACCGGTGCTGATATTTCTGCTGGGCGGCCAGGGAGAGTCAAGACATCACGCATCACAACTCCACCCGTGTAGCTTCCATCACCATAGATGACAGCATAATTGCAGCGACTTGTGCCACTGGGTCTGTTCAAACACGATGTTGTGAAAACTCTAACCACACACCTGAATCAAGCGAGAGATGAATAAATAAGTTCCACATACCCGCATCCAGCAATGCAACGACCTCGAACTCCCAGCCTCGTGCAGCCGATTCCACACCCCGCCCGATATGGACCAGCGCAAGTGGTCTCATTGATCGCCTTGCACTCAGCACAATCAATCCTCTGACGAGTCGTTGACTGTTGAGCATTGAACGACCGAGCCTGAAATGTAGAACAACGTGGAAGTCAGGTCTTTGCCATCATGCAAATTCTTATGCTTTCGAACAAATCCCTTACTCTTGTATCTGGAGGGCAGTTTGCACAGCCAGTACACCTGACCCACAACAGGTCGCTTCCAGTGTCAATGATGGTGTTCAATGATTCTTTCTGAGAACCCAGCTGCAGTGTAACGTAATAGGACCTGTTGAAACGGGCTGCGTCAGGACACATATGTAGATCATATTCGAAGAATAAACGGACGACTGGTGACCTACCCCAGTTGCTCAACGCCTCCATTGATCGGAAGGGTTGATTCCTGACCTCCTCCCTGAAGCCTTCTAGATCCGGAAGTCTTAGCTCCCTGTGCAGAATCAGACAAATAACAAGTGAAGGCATTGAATAACGGAACAGATACTGTTGAAGGATGGAGCGTGCCAGGTAGGCATCAGCACCTTGCGAATGCGTCTCAAAATAACCGCTGCTCGTGATTGCGTCTGCTTTTCCAGCCACTGTTTGTAAGAGCCGAAGGTCATAGGCCGGTTATCTGCTGAAACTGTGTGCTGATGGCGAAGCTTGAACGTGAATACTGAACCTTCCTGCACGGAGCCATAGCTAAACGGAAGAAAAGCAAGGACGCAGAGCAGCGGGAATAGCAAGCCACAGGAGCCCATGGTGACTCGAGGATGGCGAAGAACTCAAGAGGCGTGAGTGATCGGGACAAGCTACTGGCTGCTAAAATACTACAGCAGGGAGGTAGCCTTGACTGAGGACGGAATGACCTGAAAAGGGTACGATCGTTGAGGACGAATGGCAACGTCGAGAAAACGCAGTTGATGCTTACATTGAACCATTACCTTTCTAGGCTCCTCGCGTCACAGCTGGGAATGCGCGCTTCGGAACCGGGGTCGTTCCAGGCTGGATCGAAGTGACTCGCGTGACGGGAACAGAGGAGCAAGGTCGTGATTGGTGAGGTAAGGATTCAATCCATGGTAGAGGTAATCAGTAGGAAGCAGAAACGGAAAAAGCTCAGTGAGGTGAGGATGCGGAGGAATCCTCGGTCAACTCAATTGAGGAGCTGCAGTGTTGGCAGGCATGCAGGTGATCGGTATTGACCGTGTAAAAGCTGCTCTTGTTATATGCTACAGTTTTGCAAATAGAAAAACTGCTTCCAGATGCAATTCAGAAGAAACACCACAATGTTTAGCACCACAACAATGTTTAGCCGAATCCATGGTAAAACTACTTTCCCATATTCCCTTTATGGGAAATGTGAAATACCGTACATAACTTTAAAACAGTATGAAATGGTACATCATAATGTTAGTGAGACAGCGAATGAACATACATAGGGATAAAAGTAGCAACCTGTCAAAATATGTTATTCATATTTATATAATTGTCTGTAGTGTTAGTGTAGTTATGTTTCCCGTTTGGTGGTGCACCTCATTACCCTAGTTCTTGCCTATATCTTTGTACCTTTGCTCTTTATTGAACCCTTCTTCACTCTCGACTTTTCAACTTGCTCGATACTCAACTCACTCGACCTACTAGCTATGGCTCCTTAGCCTTGCTAGATCTTTCACATGGTATCAGAGCGACCAAGATCCTGACCTGTGGGCCCACCCTAAAGCTTCCGCTGCTACTCTGTGTTCGGCACGCCCCGTGGCGTGCCCCTTATCCTTTTTTTCTTAGCGGCCCCGTTGCCGCCCTTTCTGGCCCCTCGCGGCCCCTTCGCGGCCCTCCCGCCGCCCTTCACTGCGGCCCCGTCGCCCTTCGCTGCGGCCCCGCCGCCCTCAGCTGCGGCCCCGTCGCCGCCCTCACTTGCGGCCCGTCGCCGCCCTCATCTGCGGCCCCGTCGCCGCCCTCACCTGCGGCCCGTCGCCGCCCTCACCTGCGGCTCGTCGCCGCCCTCACCTGCGGCCCCAACGCCGCCCTCAGCTTCGGCCCAGTCGCCACCCTCACTTGCGGCCCGTCGCCGCCCTCGGTTGCGGCCCCGCCGCCCTCACCTGCGGCCCCCGTCGCCTACCTATGGCCCCGCCCACTTGCGGCCCCGACCCCGCCCCGGCCATGCCCCGTCGCCAGCTGCGGCACACCGGGGGCACGTGCACCGCCCCCCCCCCCCCCCCTTTTCCCGTCACCTGTCGAGGCGACCTGAGGGGGCCGCGGCGACCTGGAAGGGGGGGGGCAGGCGTCGCCCCCTCTGCCGCCTGCTTTGGCGCCCGGGGAGGCCGTGCGTCGCCCCCCCCCCCCCCCCCCCTCCCCTCTCCTCCTCCTTTTGCTCCCTCTGCTGCAGCTGCCGCTGGGGGGGGGGAGGGTGTGAGGGTGTGGGGGAGCCCGGAGAGGGACTGGGGGTGGCAGGTGTGGGGATGATGGGTGATGTGTGGTCTCCCCTTCCCATCCTCCTCCGTTCGCCCCCCCTTTGCTGCTCCTGCAGCAGTGTGGGGGGGGAGGGGGAGGGGGAGGGGGAGGGTGAGGGGATGTAGGGGGTGACCAACCAGAGTCTACCACCTCCTCTCCTCTCTCTCCCTCTATCTCTCCTCTCTCCCTTCTGTTCTCTGTTTTCTGCAATGGTTGTCACTGCTCCTGCCTACTGCTGCTACTTCAGCTGCACTCTGCATGGTGTACCCTCTTTAGGGGGCGTTACTACACTCACACCTGCAAACAATTATGGGGGTGTGTCGAAATATGTTATTCATATTTATATAATTGTCTGTAGTGTTAGTGTAGTTATGTTTCCCGTTTGGTGGTGCACCTCATTACCCTAGTTCTTGCCTATATCTTTGTACCTTTGCTCTTTATTGAACCCTTCTTTGTCACCGAATATGCACGGTTGTGCATATAAGGTGCCAGTATGATTAAGGTGTAGGACGGGTGTAGTGATGTGTTGTATTTGGTGTATGCAGCCTCAAGGATAAGTAGGTGGGGGGCTGGGAAATTGACGCGGAGTCGGTAGGAGATCACCAAGGGGTGAAATCCTCGCGACGAATGGGAACAAACCCACCCAGGCCCGAGCCGCACATTGAGAAATGCACGGCTCGAGCTAGGGACAGGTAAGTTCACTCTCACACACACACACAATGCTTTCCGTTTGTTATCCTTTCGTATAGTGGATTCTGGTTACCTCTAGCCTTGCGTTTGGTGACACCCACTAAGGGAGGACCATTGAGGTGAGAGTCTCGTCACTTTCATAACAAACGGAAAGCATTCTGCGTGCGTGCAAGCATGGACGGGTACGACGTGCGTTATGGCCGGACGTATAGTCGGCATGAGCAGGATCGCTCACGGCGCGGACACTCCCGCGAGCGTGGGCGGTCGCTGGAGCGGTCTCCGCGGAGGCCAGATCGATCGCCGCGAAGGCCTGCCTTTCGGGCGGATCAGGTGCCTCTCGGGCATGAACGCTGAGAGGAAGGATCTGCACAAGGAAGAGCCGGCGGATCGGAATCGGCCATGGTGAGGAGTGATCCGTGGCGGACGGAAACGCGCCATGGGGGTGGCGATCTGGGATATCGCCAGGAGACGGGAGCGTATCGCTCGCCGGATGCAAGTTATCGCCGTCGCAAAGATCGGAGGCGCGGGCGAGGCTTGGAAGGACTGTTTTCGGGCCGAGAGGGAGACCTCAACGCTGGCGGAGTAGAAGAAAGCGACGCGGCGGACACCTCGCAGGAGTCCGAGCACGGCGATGCGGCGGAGAACGGCGCCGACGGCCGGAAGGAGGACGTGAGCAAGCAGCGCGACGTGCCTGCAGAAGCAACAGAAGCAGATCTCGCGCAGGCGAGCGTGGCGGCAGAGACAAGCGCGGTGGAGGCGGACGGAACGAGTGGTGCTCAAAACCCGCCGCGCAACGGAGACGAGCGTGGCAGCAAGAGGCGTAGCAGCAGCTCGCGCTCTCCAGATTTGCGTCAGCAATGCGACGCGGGATGCGGCGACGGCGTGCGCTCGCCAGATCACCGGCGCACTTGTGATGGGGGGGCGCGGCGACGGCATGCGCTCGCCAGATCCGCGGCGCACTCGTGATGGGGGACGCGGCGACGGCGTGCGCTCGCCAGATCCGCGGCGCACTCGTGATGGGGGACGCGGCGACGGCATGCGCTCGACAGATCCGCGGCGCACTCGTGATGGGGGACGCGGCGATGGTGTGCGCTCGCCAAATCCGCGACGCACTCGTGATGGGGGAAGCGGCGACGGCGTGCGCTCGCCAGATCCGCGGCGCACTCGTGATGGGGGACGCGGCGACGGCGTGCGCTCGCCAGATCCGCGGCGCACTCGTGATGGGGGACGCGGGGACGGCATGCGCTCGCCAGATCCGTGGCCGCTGCATGAGAGGAGACACGGAAGTGGATACCACTCGCCAGATTCGAGGCAACACCGGGACAGTGGGCGCGGGGGCAGCACGCACTCACTAGATCCGCGGAGAAAGCGCGACGGGAGAAGCAGAGGGGATTCGCGCTTGCCAGAGCCTCGTTACTCGCGTGATGAGAGACGCGGAGGAGGCAATCGCTCGCCGGACATGCAACGGTACCGTGGAGAGAAGTGGGGAGACAAGGCGCACTCGCCCGACTGGCGCCTGCGTCATGGGGAAAGCCGGGGAGGCGGATATCGCTCACCGCATCGGCGGCAGAGCAGGGATGGGAGGCGCGGTGGTGGGTCTCGATCGCCTGGCCGGTATTGGCAGCACGACGGAAGATGTGCCGGACAGGGAGGGCGGGAGCAACATGGCGATAGAGAAGAAAGCAGTGGGCTGGTGCACAGCCTGGAGCGAGCCAAGGAAGCAAGGGAGGGCCTACAGCGGGCAAAAGGAAGGGGAGCATCAGGGAGATCGGTGGGAGGGCCGAGCGAGGCATGGGGAGAAGGAAGGGGAGGCACGGCCGTGGGCATGAGGGTGGAGGTGCCTACACGCTTCTCAGGAGATCAGCACACGGGGCCCACGCTGAAGAACTACCTCATGCAAGTGGGCAATGTGCGGTACCGATGTGAGAGGAGCGGCATGGACTCAGTAGACTTTTTCCTGAGCCTGCCGAACACACTGGAAGGGGAGGCAGAGACATTGTACAGGATGAAGATGGATGAGCTGTTGGAGAAGGCAGGGAGGTATGGGGAAGACCCCACGGAGGCATTCCTAAGACGGCTGAAACGGCAGTTCCCAGGCCACACCGCGGAGAAGATAAGAGAGTTTCAGGACTTCAGGAAGGGGCGGGGCGAGTCACTACTCACCTACTACAACCGATTGGTTAACCTGGCAGAGGATGTGAGTTGCGCGGACACGGCCCTGCTCGTGAGTAAGTTTCTGGACGGCCTGGAGGGTACTTTGGGAAGCGGGCTGCGGCTGAAAGTGTACGAGAGGGGGGCTGACGTGACGCTTGATGAAGTATTCGAGCTAGCAGAGAAGATGGAGATGGCCCAGAGGAAGCTCGAAGCCTACCGGCAACGCCCAGTGGAGCGAGGCAGAGGACCTACGTGGGCCGCAGCCATGATACCAGAAGAAAAGGAAAGAGGAGGGGGAAGAGGGGATAACAGGACTGACATACGGACGTGCCACCGATGCGGGCAGCCAGGGCACTTGCGCAGAGACTACAAGAACTGCGACTCCTGTGGTAAGCCCGGACACCGGCGGCGGGAATGCCCAACGGCGCCAAAGTGTGACATCTGTGGGAAGGGAGGGCATGCAACGAGGGAGTGTTATCAGCGGGAGGGAGCAGCGAGGAGGACACCAGAGGACCTGGAAAGGCAGATTGGCAAGCTACAGGCTCAGCTGCAGGCAATGGGACCACGACGCGAGGCAGAAGCGGGGATGTACGCTAAGAAAGAAAAGGAGGAGGATGTAGAGCAGGATGAAGAAGCTGCATTCATGAGCTGGGCAGGAAGAGCGGAGGATGAGGTGGAACACGAGGAGCAGCCAGCATACATGGCATGGAGAGGAAGGGAGGAGATGGGGCTGCGCAGCGGGGGAAGGGATGCACGGAAGGAGCAGGTGAGGAAGGAACGAGAGAAAGGACAGAAACCGGAAGCGAATAAAGAGAGGTGCACAGCAGCACGGCACCCTCGGGAGCGGCTGGCGTGCCAGACTTCCGTGCTGCTGATACAAGGAGGCGCGCTGTCGGTGGAAGGGGAGAAGGCCAAGACGGCTATCATAGACACTGGCGCGCAGAGCGTGATATTAGGGAAGGGGATGGCCGAGAAGCTGGGACTGTGGGCACCGGACAGACATGTAGTGAAGGGGATGCTGGTGATGACAGCAGAGGGAGGAGAGTCAAAGTGGATGCCATGTACAAGGACTCCAATTGAACTGACGGTGCTCAAAGGAGAGAAGCACGAAACGCCGGTCAGGATCAGGTGCGGGATCTCAGAATCTGAAGATTTCGACGTTTTGGTGGGCACGGAGATGATCTTTGCACTGGGCATGACCATCTGCTTCTGGAGGGAGACGGTGGAATTCAGGACCAGGTGGTGGAGGAAGGGTGAGCCACTGGGACAGCTGCCGGTGCAGTTCGTCAAGACAGAGCCGAAGCGGGCCTACAGGGCGGATCTGAAGGAAATGACAGCGAAGCAGGGGGCACAGGAGAGCACGACAAGCAAGGGACAGGGCAGAGAGCTGAGGATGCGCTTCATGGACGAGCCTAGCCAGCAGACTGATTGGCAGCAACCTATCCGCCTGGTGGAACTATTTGGGGGTATAGGGGCGGGGTTGGCAGCAGTGGTGCGGAACGGGATCGCAATGAAGCAGTGGATTTACGTAGAGAAGGCGGCAAAAGCAAGGAAAATGGCGGAACATCACGCATGGCAGCTGCACCGCGAGTTCCCGGAGCTGTTGAAGGAAGAAGTGATCAAGGCAGCAATGAGTAGAGGAGTGCACGATGTACGGGCCATCACAGAGGCTGAGGTGGCGAGCTGGGGGCACGTGGACTTGTTGGTGGCGGGATGGGAATGCCAAGGGGTATCATGGGCAGGGAAGGGCAAGGGTGAGCAAGACCTACGGACACAACTGATGGAGGACTTGTTCAAAATTCTGGAGTGGCTGCAGGCTCGACAAAGCAGGGTGGCCTACCTGCTGGAGCATTTAGACATGGAAGGAGATGTGCGCGAGCCCATACGAGTAGTAAGGGAGCGAGTGACCAGACAGGTGGGAAAGGGAGTGAGCTGCGACGCGACACGGATGGGAGCTTACGCACACAGGCTCAGGATGTACTGGCAGAATGTGGTGCCAGCGGAAGACCTGCAGAAGGAGATAGAGGGGGTACGGAGAGCAGGGGGGGCGGAAGCTGAGCGATATACTGGAGCCTGGGCGAACGCCAGCACCAGTGAATAAGAAGAGCTACAGCCGACATTATCCGTGCAATCAAGTGGGGCAGGAGAGGCAAGCACTGCCTACGCTAGTGTCATATGAGGGGGCAGCAGGGTACCAGATGGATGGGAAGCAGCCAGGCCCAGGACTAGTGCTCGACCACGGGAAGGGAAGGTGGGAGGAGCCCACGGCCCTGGAGAGGGAGCTGGCTATGGGGTACAAGGAGAACGCTACAGCAGCCCCTGGTGTCACTGAACAGGAACGGAGGCGGGCAATGGGGAACGCAATGGATGGGTACGTGATGAGGTGGTTGGTGCAGTGGATGTGGAGAGAGACAGTGCTGCGCTGGGGACTGAAGGAGGGAGAGAACACAGTAGCAACGGTGAGGCAGGGGGCATGGGCCTGCTTGCCGAAAGCAGAGCATGAGTGGAAGATAGGTGAGAGCATGAGTGAGGGAGGGAAGGCAGCCATGCTGGCACTGCTGGTTAAGCACAGGAGGGGCTTCGCTTTCACCCTGCAGGAGTTGGGGAAGTGCAAGATCAAGGAGATGGCATTGAAGCTGAGCAGCGATGAGCCGGTGTTCCACCGCCGAAGAAAGATGCCGCCTGGGGATGAGGCGATCTGCAGGGAGAAAATAAAGGAGTTACTGGAAGCTGGATTGATCAGAAGGTCAGAGTCAGAGTACGCGACCCCGACGGTAGTGGCAGCCAGGAAGGATTTGACAGGAGAGGTGCTGAGCCGCAGGATGTGCGGCGATTACAGAGATCTTAATAAGATCACCGTGCCGGACAGGTACCCCATGCCGATGGCGGAGGAGCTCTTTGACAAGATGGCCGACGGGGTGTACTTCACGACGCTGGACCTGCGCCAGGGATTCAATCAAATAAAAATCAGGGAAGAAGATGTGAAGAAGACAGCCTTCCACGGACCGGACGGGCTGTACGAGTGGCTATACATGCCCTTCGGCCTACGGAACGCCTCGGCGGTGTTTCAACGAGTCATGGACGCGGTGCTGCGGGGAATTGAACATGCAGCATGCTACATCGATGATGTAGTCATCTTCAGCTTGACCGAGCAGCAGCATCTGGAGGACGTGGAGAGGACCCTGAGTGCAATAGAGGAGGCAGGGCTCACATGCCATCCCAACAAATGCAGGTGGGGGGAACGGACGGTGCAGTACCTGGGGTATGAGGTGAAAGGGGGACAGATCGGGATCCAGCAAGCAAAGGTACAGGTGCTGGACAGGCTGAGGGAACCTAGAGACAAGTCAGGGCTGCGCGCGGTCTTGGGCTTCCTCAGCTACTACAGGCGCTTTGTGCCTAACTTCAGTAAGAGGGCGGCGGTGCTGAATGGGATACTGCGTGAGGACAAGGCATGGGAGTGGGGAGAGCAGCAGAGGGTAGCACTCCAAGACCTCATGACAGCCGTAAAGACGGCGACAGTGCTACGGCTGCCAACAGCAGACCAACCTTTCGTCCTCTACACCGATTGGAGCAGCCAGGGGATGGGGGCAATACTGTGCCAGGGGGTGGAGGGAGTGGAGAAGGTGGTAGCCTACGCCAGCAGGAGCTGCAACCCCGCAGAGGCGCAGTATAGCTAATACATAGGGGAGGGACTGGCGGCAGTGTGGGCAGTCGGGCACTTCAGGGTGTACCTGCAGGGCCGCGAGTTCACCTTGGTCACTGATCATCAGCCCCTCACGTGGCTGATGACCACACCAGGGCTGACGGGAAGGAACGCCAGGTGGGCCGTGAAGCTGCAGGAATATGATTTCCAGATCAGGCACAGGCCGGGGAAGACGCTGCAGCACGTAGACGGTCTCTCCCGTAATCCACCACTGCTGGAAACAGGACAAGGAACACAGGGGACGGAGGGGACAGAGCAGGAGCCAGCGCACACCCTGATCATGCTGGCGAGAGAAGTGGAACAAGTCGGTGCCAAGGGGAGTAAGGGGCCAGCGGACATATGGCAGGATGAGAAGGCGATGAAGTGGGTGAGGGGAGAAACAGAGGAAGACGAGGCAGTGTCTGACAGAGTGAGAGCACGAGGACACCACTACAGGTGGTACCAGCAGCAGCTGCAGGTCAAGACAGAGGACGGTTGGAAGCTGGTGCCAGCGCCACAGGACCGTGAAGCAATAATCAAAGAGGTACACACTAAGCTGGGACACTTCGGACATGAGAGGACCGTACATCTGCTGAAGACGGGCTGGTGGTGGGAAGGGATGCGCAGACAGGTGAAGGAGTGGGTAGAGGGGTGTGAGGCATGTCAGAGGAGCAAAGCCAACCTGACGC